CAATTCCAATTGAAGCCTTGGGAAGGGTCTAGAATTTTTTATTATAGTAACAGAATATTTACTGGAAAACAGGTAGACTTAGTGAAGTTTCTCATGTTTTTTTTCTATGTATTCACATGGGCTGTAGCAAAGTGTGTTCCTTTCTTGCGAAGCGACAGGTGCTCTTTCCTTTCTTTGACTGTACAACTGTGGAGTCTTAATGCAGGTGAAGTACAAAGGGATGTAAAGTGCAATCTGGTTAGGAATACATGTAGTTATTCAGTAATAGTCTCTGCATCTTGGCATTAGGTAAGCTAATCCTGTTTGTTAACAATGTTCTGAACAGTTAAACTGTTTAGGCTGAGGAGAGGGTGGAGAAACTGGCAAACTGATGCTTAAGTTTGGAGTTTATGAAGCTGTTAATAAACAAATGCCTTGAAGTGCTCAGTTTCAAGGGACCAGCCAAGAATGACACAACATTGTGCAGGTTTCTCTGCAGCAGGAGGCCTTAGTTAACCTGGAGAAGTTATAACCTAGACAGGTAAGACAAGGGAAGGCTGAAATAGTTGGTGAGCTTAGGGTTATGCTTCTTATATCGAGGGTGATGTGGTTTGATTAGTCCTGTGGCCAAGTACAGATTTTCAGAAGTCTAAATCAAAACAGCTTTTTAGCAACCACTATGGTTTGATTTGTAGATCTTGCTGTGCTTCATGTGGTCAACCTGTCTGTTGGTGTAACCTTCATTTCTTGGTCTGAAGAGCATTAATGGTTGGACTTGATGATCTTAAAGGTCTTTTCCAACCTAAATGATTCTATGATCTTTCACTAGCACCACAAATCTCCTATTGTGCATATGGCTTTGTGTAACCCATTATAAAAAAAAATCCATAGTTATCAAGTCAATGGCTTAATCATCATCTTTTAAAGCAGGTGAAGCAGGTAATTACTTCTAATATCTGAAAGATGAAAGGCTGCCTGAAAAAGTTTATGCTCTGACCTGGGAGCTCTCTAGCACTTGATTTTGAAGCAGGATAAGCTGTAACCAGAGGACACACACACCCCCCAAATTTTTCAAAAGGGTTTTTTAGTTTTTATGACACTTACAACACAAAGTTCAACATGGTGTCATTAAACCTGAGGGCAGGATGACAGATTGAAATTAAGTGGATTGACTGGATTGCTTCCCTTCCTGTCAGAGGAGGGTAAATCTTGTTTGGGTACAATTTACTTCCCAGCAAGTAAAGAACAATGTGGGAGGGGAGGGAATACTTATCATAGAATTAGGTGGCTTGTCTGGACACTTATTCAGAGCGGCATCTTCAACAGATATATTAAGGCCAAGAGTCTTAAGTTTACATTCCCTTGAACTGAAGGGAATTGAGTAATGTTTTAAAAGTAACTGCAGTCGTCACAGGTTCTTCTAGACACTGCTACTTTTTTGAGAGGTGGTTGGATTTCCCAAGACTTCCTTTTCTGTAAGGAACAGATGAGTTAATGTCAGTGTCTTCACTGCCTCAAGGATGCTTAATCTACAGAATGGCATGAATATTCAGCCTTGCCTACTCAGAGATGACTGAGGAGAGACCTTCTACTTGTGTTAACTGATTTTTTTTTTTAACCTCAAGGAGCTGTTAGATTTGAGTTTTGAACCATAGTGTGTAAACTGTTTCTTGGGCTGCAGGGGTGGAAATGCAAGTAAACAAACAGTTGGCTCCAATGACTTCTCTCTTATTAGAGTATTCCTATTAAAAATCTCACTGTGCCCCTTCCTGAACCAGTGATGTGCTATTAGCCTGTTTTATAAACACTGGTACTTCTGCACTGATACTGCCTGTGTCAATCCTATGCCACACTGCTGCAGCCTTGCCTTGTTCTGTACTGCCTGGCTGCGCTGGGGGCTATGCTCCCTCTGTTGCCACCAAAGAAGAGATGCGTTGTGTGAAGCTTCTGGGATTTCACTGAGGGCATACAGCATAGGGGTTGTGTTGTGAGCAGACTCCCTCATTCAGAGTTCATGTAGTGTTGATAGTCTAAAAGATTCGAGTGGTACTTGTAACAGCTCTGCAGGGAGAGACTAGTACCTTGGCCATTAAGAGCTGGGCTGGCTTTAGATGCAATCAAACTGTAAATTGTATGCTATTGGATGGGGTTTGTTTAATATTATACTTTGGTTACAAGTCAGGTAATACTGTGCATGAAGGCTGACCTTGCAGTTTCTACTGGCTGATGTTGAGGTAGGATGGAGAAGGAAGGATTTAAATATTCTCTCCACTTACCTCTATGATGAGCTTGTACTGAATCAAGGTGGTCAGTTATTTTGCCTAAAAGGCAGCTATTCCTTTAACATGACCAGGTAAAGGTGTGGTATCTGTATTGACAGGAGGGGGAAAGTTGCTATCTTCTCTCTTGGCTGTTATTAAATAATCTTTTTATTGCAGTTGCATAGCACAGTGGACTTAGGGCAACTTAATAGGCAGCAGCACTAAGTTTGTGTTGCCAGAAAAATGTTTAACTTGAAAGCTTTGTGTTAGATAACACAGCAGTTACAACAACCTTAGGATGCTTGTTAAAAGAATGCTCAAGGTTAAAACCAGTCACAATTATGCTGAAAAGTTGTTAAGGGCCACTTGGCTTCTCCAGAAAGCAGCTTATCTACTACTGTCCAAGTCAGACTACTCTTGAACTAGGACAAAATAAACTTTTTTGCAACTTAGGAGCAAGCTGTGTTATTATTGGAGTGCTTGAAGTCCTCAGACTATCTCATTGTGTGGTCAGTCTGTAGCCTTGGGTGTGTATGTCTAAGCAAGCTGAATTCTAGTTTATCATCTGTAGAACACGTGGACCATAAGCAAAGAAAGCCTTTCAGCAACAACTTTTGGAGTTCAGATGCTACCTGTTGTGTTTTCTCCCATTTTTTCCATACTACCCTGGCAGGGAGCTCTGTTCTCTTCCCCTCTTGTCTCTCTGGTGACTAAGAACTAAAAATCAAGCTTGCAGTCCTCTTCTGGTTTGGAATCTCTGGGGTGAGAGATGGCCAAATTCACTGTCCCCAACACAAATGTGCGTTCGTGCTGTACAGAGAGAATCTCTGAAAAGTAGGAGTTGTCTCATTCCGTTTCTGTACTAAGGAGTGTCCTGGATGAGGGAGCTGATGTATAACATAATCTAGAAGATTACTAGAGGAAAGTATCTGTCTTCACTTACCAGTGTTTATCCCAGAATGAATGCTTGAAGATGATTAATTTGCATTACTGTACTAAATGTGTGTAGCAAACAGGTGTGAGTAAAATACTCTGCATGGAAAAATACTGCTACTCAAGATGTTTGAAAATGCAGTCCTGAGGGCAATTCTTCATTATTGTCATGTTTGTTCTTGTATGTGGTAGTCAATGAGAACTCAGTTTGATTTGTTGCTTTTCAGAACATAGTCAGACAAGGGGCAGAGAATCTTCACAATCGCCATACCCCAGGGCAGGTTGCCCAGACTGGTCATGGAATTGTAAACCTCAAAACACAGGGCATGTAAACTGGATTGCTTGGAGCAAACTGCTTTAAGGGAGAGGTTTGGACTGAGCAACATCCAAAGGTCCTTTCCAGGCTAAATAATTCTATGGTGTGTTTGTAGGTTGACAATCCCTTAGTCCCTAGTTAATTTTGTGTAGGGCAGCTAGTTATCCTGAAGGTTTTTCCAATATAGCGTGCTCTGACTTCTACTGTAGGCCTCCTACTTCCATCCAGTAGAACTTGATGGTGTGATGTGTCATTCCAGTATCTTTCTAGAGCAATCATGTCCGGGCAAATCTGAGACTCCTGGTGGGCTTGTTCCTTCTGTGCTTCTGGAATAATTGGCACTGCTATAAATCAAGGCTGGTATAGCCACTTTCCTGAATGGTTTGCTGTTCTCCTTACAGTACTCTACCAGGATATGAACAGCTGGGGCCCTAAGTTGTCCTGTTGTGATGACAAAAGTGTTGCTAACCTAGCATCTCCCTTTAGTCATCATGCATCTGGAGTATACATCTCTTCCCCACCCCCCCCAGTGTGGGAATCCTGACTGGTGACACATCTCCTTTTGTATTGGTCACTTCTGCTTTTGTCCCCAGTGTGCTGTTCTTAGAGCTGCTGATCTGTGCTAATCAGAGTGTGGCAGCTGATGCTTATGTTTCTGTCACAACTACTGTGTCCAGCTACTCTTAAAAAATAGCAGTACTATTTTTAAGAGGTCTCCAGCAATTAATTACTCTGTTTTCATGACACACAAACAAAGGCTTGTTAACTATACTTGTTTATTGAAGCTTACTCTTTTATGGCTTTGCAACATCGGGAGAAGCATAGGAACTGAGAATTTCTTGCAGTAAAGCAGGATTTTGCTTTTTTCAAATGCAGATAGATTTGCAGCATCAAAAGGCAGGAAGACTATAAAATAAATGCTAATGCCATGTCGTAAGACTTTCTGCTGGAAGCTTTTGCAACTTGTTCCTGCCAGAATTTACTGTGTATCTCTTTTTTTTTCTTAGCCTATGTAGAGAGGAGATCAAAAGTCATCTTTCTACCTGTAAGCAGATCTAAGGTATAGCTCTGCTTCCAGGTTGAAACTAAGCTGCATCAACATTAAAGAAATATTTTAGAAAGGTGTAAAGCCTTATAACAAGAACAATAAAAACACTTAATTTCATGTTTGAGAAAGTGTTTTTTTTTTTCTTTGGAAACTGCTCTAGATAGCAGTCATGTAGGATAAGTTTACAAATAAGAACAGCTTGTTCAGCTAGTAGCTCCTTTGAGAAACCTTTTGCACTCTTATTAATGGTATTGTTGTCACAAGTAGAAGATATTTGTTCTAATACCTTGTTCCTAATCATACTTTAGATGTCAGTGACATGGTTTGCTTGCCAGTGCATTGAAATGGCCCGTTCTTCAGGCTTGCTGGGCAGGGTTTTAATCTAGTCTTTCAGCGCTAGTGAGATGCTTTACCTGCATGCTATGACCTGATGTCACCAATGTCATGGATGGTGACTGTGTTTCTCCTGTCTGCAGATCTGACTGATTGCCTGGCACTTCATCTGTGGCAAGCAGGACAATGGCTGCCAGCAAGAGCAAGAACCAGAGTTCCTTGGCCCTCCATAAAGTAATTATGGTTGGCAGTGGAGGTGTGGGCAAATCTGCACTCACTCTTCAATTTATGTATGATGAGGTAAGCAGCTTTTGGTTCAGCTTCTCTAGAACACCACTGGATACATCTTACTAAACTTTTTTAGTGGGACAGGGGAACTAAATGTAAGTAACAAAAGACCTGATGACCTGACTGTCAGGAGAAGAATGTAAGCATCTGGGAAGGTGCCCTCTGGGAACATATTTGGCTAAGGGTGACAAAAATAAAGCTTATTGGTGAAAGAACAGTCTTCAAAAGTCATGCAGAATATGAATGTGCTTGTCCTGAGAGGCTGTCTTGTCTTAAGAGGCTGTTACTGGTTGGCATTGTACTTTAATTTTGTTGCAGTTTCTTTTAGGCCAGTTAAGGTTGAAGTCAGAAGTAACGTTCTAGCTCATTCTGAGCTGGATGATGAAGTAGGCATGTTCATAGCATGAATTCTTCCATACTGGTATACAGGAAGCTTGATCAGACAATCCAGGCTAGTATGTGAAGGAATATACATGATCCTGTAGTTCAGAAGTTAGTATGTGTGGACAGCCTATAGATAAATACTATGTGTGATGTGAATATCTGAACAGGTGGCATAGGCATTAGTGAAGGCCAGTCTGATTATCAGGCTCATGGCACAGCCTTTTGTTGCACTTTGAGGCTGAGAGAAAGGAGGTGGAAAGGTAAAGAGGCTATGTTGGACGTGTGCTGGCCAGCACAGAGCTACAAGTTGAACTGGCGGTGGCTTTGTGGGTCTGATCAATATTGAATGGACTAAAGTATGTGCCTGTGTAATCATGGAGCAGGTTTTCATGTTCGACAGCCGGATGCTGTCATGTACACCTCTTGCAGCTTCAGATAGCTGTACCTGAAGTACACTCAAATGCCTTTTCTTGAAGTGGGAGATCTAGATAATGCTACCAGGTTGCTGGTAGTTTATACTGTATCTTTGTCCCTTAAATTGTGCTGAAATTGCTGAACAGTGTTTCATGTAGCAAGACTGTTTCTCTTGACTAGGCAGACTGGCTCTTTGATGTATGAAGTGCTTAAATAATTTGCCTTTTATAGTAAAACTAAAAGTGGTGGAACTTAGTAGCTGACTGAATTATGAGAAGGTTTTGGGGAATTTAAATGTCAATTTAGTGACAAGAGAATGGATATGTACAAATACTGAGACCATTTGACAGTAATTCTAAACACTAATCCCTGTCTTATCTTCTTCAGTTTGTAGAAGACTATGAACCTACTAAGGCTGACAGCTACAGGAAGAAAGTAGTTCTGGATGGTGAAGAAGTTCAGATAGACATTCTGGACACAGCAGGACAGGAGGATTATGCAGCTATCAGAGATAACTATTTCCGCAGTGGGGAAGGATTTCTTCTAGTCTTCTCAATAACAGAGCATGAATCCTTTACAGCAACAGCAGAGTTTCGGTAAGTAGTTTCTCTCTCAGGCAGGGGGAAATATCTGGTTCCTATGTTGCTTTTACAACTCTTCTTAGGATAAAGAGCTGTAGGGTTTTTTTTGTCCATTACCATTTGATCAATAAAAGTGGCAACCCAACCATTTAGCTCTCAGTAACTGGTAACTTAAACCACGGTATCCAGCCTCTGGCTCTGGCTGACTTCATGCGTTCAACTTATGAGTACATTACGCCAGCAGCAACTTCAGGCAAGTAACAGATTCTTGGACTCGTAAAACATATTCAAGCCAATTTTCAGTCTTTGTGGATGTGAAGTTTAATTATCTTAGAGCAGTACTTCTGGAATTAAGTCTGCCTTTTGGCCAGCTTTCAGACACTGTATTGCTTACTGCTAGAAGCAGGTGCTCTAAGGAAAGGAACGATTAGCCTCCATGCTCAGGTATGGATTGGTGCCAAACAGGGGTTGGCAGCCAAGCAGTACTATTGTAGGAAGATGTATTCCTAGAAAGACATACAGTAGTAGTAAATGCTTCCATTTTTGTTCTTGGGATTAGCAGTTCTAATGTAAAAATCGGCACCAGACTGAGCACAGAAACTGCTTGTGTAGTGTAAAAGAAAAACAAGGGGTTTAATCCATTGTTTTGGTCTCAGAACTCATGTAGCCAGGTTCTTCAGGGCAAGTGTTCTAACTCTTAATTGATAATAGCTGTTGCCTCAGTGTAGAAGGGAATCCAGAGATTCCCTAGGACAGCTGTACAACTTGAAGTAAAACTTGCCAAAACATAGGGCAAGTGTTAGGAGTTCCTTACGTTTGCCAGAATAAAAGCTCTTTATCAGTCTGGCTTATGTTCACTTTGCTTCAGTGGTATGAGGTTAACAGATACTAATTGTTAATGCCAGTGCAGGTGCCAAGGTGGACACCTATTTCTAGGGTTTTCTTAAAGCTATGGCAAACTCCCCTTGTACTCTAGGACTTTGTCCAGGTTCTTAATGCATTATACTGTTCCAACAGTAGTAGGAGATGGCATCATCTTTTAAGAGGTATAAAAATATTGTTCCTTTGTCACGTAGTACTTGCGTGACTTTGCTAGACTTCAGAAGGCTGATAATTGTGGGGCACACAAGCAGAGCTGTTCTGCTCACTTGGCTCTAACTGGAGCACTTAAAAGGAGATAAACAGTTGAACTGTTGTAGGACTGCAAAACTGAGTACTTGGACTGTTCCTAGTGTAAGATGGGGGGAAAAGTCAGATACCATTCAAAAAATGGGAAGAAAATGAGACACTTGGAAGTACTCAGCTTGGGTTTTGGCTTGTGTGCTTAAGTGAAATATAAGGTTAAACTCAAGGCTTTGGATGAAAAGGAGTAGGAGTGTTTATATTGGCAGTTTGTGTTTTTGTCAGACTTCTGTAACTAGGTTAACTGTGTGTTGGTTCAAGATTCCAGGACAACAAACAATGAAAAACAATGCTAGCTGTAAAGACAAGCAAGAAGGACCCAAAAGCTTTGACATGGAGAATCTCCTACTTTTCAATGGGTCAGAAGTAAATAAATAGTGAAAATAGTTAAATATATAGTTGGGCTGACATGTAAGAATCAGCTCCTTGGAAAACTCTTCCCTAGGAAGGACGGGAGGATTGGGTAGTATGAGTCACTGCCATCACAGGCTAAACTACAGATTGGTGGTATTGATCCTGTAACTACCAGAATTCTTCAACTATGAAAAAGTTGAATACTGAATGAGCTATGGGCTTGTCCTTAAACCTAGCTCTCCTACTGATGCTATGCATTCAGTGTTTGCTTTAAGTGCCTCTGTAATCTGAAAATGTGTGAAGGTACAGTTGAACACAGCAGCAGAATGTCTGCTTCAGTGTTAACTGTTTTAGATTCTCATGTACTCCACAGACATTCAGTTATTTTGTGGATGGGAAGTGCAAGCATCTGAAGTAGTGTGGTAACTCAGTGGGATGAGGGGTTGTAGCATTATGCTCATGTCTAGTTTGGCTCTTGTTCATAACAAAATGAAGCAATCTAAAAATAACTGTAGACTGGTACAGTTCTTCCAGAGTCCTAGATGAACAGCAGCGCGTGTCAGTCTGGTTTCAACCCATGTTTTACTCCAAAAATAGCACAGACTTTGAGACTGACCTGCAGCATCACTCTGTCTCCTTTCCTGGATGCCAATGGGTCCTTTTTAGAATGACAAAGGATAGCTCGGTTAATGCTGATGGTTGAAATATTTTCTTGGAGTCTTTGAAGGAGGAAGGTGGCTAGCATTTTAATTCAGCACTATTTAGTAACTCTCTCCTTTGTGTAAAGTTTAGGTAGTCCATTAAGAATGCTCTCTGCCAGCTACTTTACACAGTTCCGAACCTACTGCCTTGCCAAGGTCTTGATGTTGCCCAGACCTATATTGAAGTGGGACGTAGACGGGAAATTGAAGATGGTGACTGAATGCCAAGGCAAAACTTGGTGAACGTGGCACTTGTACTCTTTTCCTCATTCAGATGTGAACTCCTGTTGTGAGTTGCTCTTCAGCCATACAGCTCTTCTTTATTAGAGCCTGGGTAGTAAGCTTACTAAATGGTAAAACAGCTTTCCTGGAACTGTGAGGCTTTTATTAGTGTGAAGCCCATAGCATTAGTATGTTAAACTTGGAGTAATTTTAAAGTGTGCTCAACTGTTGGGAAAGGTACTGTTAAATACTGTTATAAACACTAATGTGCAGACCACTTGATCCACTCCTGATAAGGATGGGGGTTTTGTTGCTACTACTAACACACATCTCTGTTTTGAATACCTGATGCATTAGGGAACAGATCCTGCGTGTGAAGGCTGAAGAGGATAAAATCCCTTTACTGGTAGTGGGAAACAAATCTGACTTGGAAGAGCGCAGACAAGTGCCTGTAGAAGAGGCTAGAAGTAAGGCAGAAGAGTGGGGTGTGCAGTATGTAGAAACCTCTGCTAAAACTAGAGCGAATGTAGATAAGGTAAGACAAATGACACCTGCTCAATTACATTGTTACTACTTGTTTAGTAGCTGAGTGTCTTAATTCTTGACTACTGCTGGGACAAAAGCAAATCCACAGTTGGGCTTCTGAAAGCCTAGAGTATCAAAAATAAATGAACTTACTGGAATGTGTACACTTAAGCAAATACCTAGTTTAGAGGAGCCAGAGACCTGGTACAAGTTAATGCTATTGTCTTGTTTTAACTGTTTGTACCTGAACCAATAGCTTTCCCATATACCTTGGGTAAATGGGTTTAAGGATTCCCTGAAGTATGTTATTTTGTTTATAGGCTGCATCCTATTGTTATAAGAGCAATAAATGGCAAGCTATAGACACTTAATTGTTCTGCCTTCCCTACAAAGCTACATATAGTGTGGCTAATGTTAAAGATTTCACTTTTGTTTTCTGCCAAAACTACTTTGAATTGTGATGAGAACTCTTCTTGCTATGTCCCTGTCCTGTTTTGATTTTTCCATGCTGGTCTAGGACAGTCATTCTCAGCACATTTCTGCTGCTGGCTTCTTGTATAAACAGTGGTGGTGGGTTATTCCAGAAGACACATGAGTTATGACTATGGAGTGTTTGCCCAGTAGGGAAAAATCAATTTCAAGCTTCCCCTTCATTCTGTGTGTAGTGGGGGTTTCTTGAAGAAGAGGGTGCCTTTTTACTTCGACAATCCACAGAAGATGGTCTGAAATTAGTGTTGGGCCCCCTAAGGACTCCAAAGGTGTGGCTTGGCAGTTTGCATTTGTTTAAAGATTACAAATTTGTAAGCGGTTTTCTCTTTGGACAAAGAACATTTGCAGCTAGTTATACTCCAAGTTCTTGTAGACAGCTTTCTGTTCTTCTAGTCTATATTAGTTTTATTAATGGAGATGCGGCTGGTGCATAAGTTACCTAGTAGGAACTCTATTTCTCATTCTTGGCTAAAACAATGTATGTGAAACTCCTGAATTGAGAACTTCTGGTTATAAAGGACATAGCATAATTTAAATTTGGTAAAGAACCATTCTGACTTGTGGAATGTTACTAGGAAGTCAGACTAGCAGATAGTATAAACTGGGTGATATAGTAAAACATGAATACCTAGACTTGCTTTTGCCTATGGGCTGTCTCATGTGACTAGCAAATGCCTAGCCTGTTTTATACTTAGACTAGCTTTCTGATCAGTTGGGATTAACAGCAATGTAGCTGTGTCTGGAGTGTACTAGCATGGTGTTCTAGACTTGCTCTTGTAGGTCTCCTCTAGCTAGCTTGTGTGACATGCTAATATCCTCTATATAAGCACTGTTTTGTGTATGTTAAGACAAGTTGTCACCACTGTGATTGTGCATTGACACTGTACCAGAATAAAAAACTTTAAGAGGGTGTTGAATGATAAACTATTGTATTTCTGATCAGTAGTCTAGTCTTGTTTCCAAGTATCAAAGACCTGTGTAGTTTCCCATTTAAAAAAACAGTCTAACTCTATAGAGTGACACCTAAGCTCTTGTTCTGTGATCCTTAAAATACTTTTTCCCAATAACTCTCTACAGTAAAACAACCGTTGCATCTGAGGTGTATGTACTTAGACATCAGGTGTACAGGGGTGAAATCTGCTAGAATTTTGGAGGAAACATCAGCGTAATGACTTTCTCTGAATCTTTCTTATAACACGGTCCGAGAACTTTCTGTGCCTGACACTGTCACTTGAATGCTGCAGCTTTTTAATTGTAAAACAGGCAGAATACTACCCAGCAGAGTGTGCTTGTAACTACATGGAAAGGACTGGACTAAATGCTTTGCATAGTTAACAAGAGTCATTTGCCGGGAAATGTCTGTTAGGCACAGACAAATGTTCTCGTGAACTCTGACTGCTACTTTTGTGCAAGACTGATATTCAATAAAAGGCTCTTAAAAGGGGGCTATTGAATGATTTGGTAGCCAGGTAAGATTGTCCTACTTCTTGCCACTGCTTGACATGCTACATAATTCTGATGATGAGTCTGTCACTGGGATCTATGTCTAGACTCACTTCTGCTTCATTAGGTACAGTGTGGTGCTACATCTTTATTTGCTGCTGAATACAGTAGTTTTTATCTGCTTTCTGGTGGTAGATCTTGTTTAATTTTTCTTTATTTTTCCCTCCTAGGTATTCTTTGATTTAATGAGAGAAATCAGAGCAAAGAAAATGTCAGAAAACAAAGACAAGAATGGCAAGAAAAGTGGCAAGAACAAGAAAAGCTTTAAAGAAAGATGTTGCTTACTGTGATGCTTGGGAACTGTAAATATCTATCTACAGGTGGCATGGATAAGATACCACTAAGGATATAGGGCTGGATTCATGAAAGGAAGTCTGTATTGACTCCCTTATCTTTTGCTTTGCATATCACACCTTCAAAATGTGAAAACAGAACTTTGAACCCATTTCCGGTATCCAACAAAACCTATGCCTACTTAAACTAAAATAGGCTCTGTCTTCCCAATGCCTTTCAAAACTAGAAACAGTTTCAGAACTACAATCCTTCTGGTTGGTTATACAAAGTACTTTCATATTAACTTCCTAGGTTACTCTAATGTTTCTCTGAATATGTTTCTCTTGAATCTCTACTGGCCTTAACAAGCACAGCTGTTCAGGTTCAAGCTTTTTTTTCCTACTGCTGCCCTCCTTGATGTTGCAAGCTGCAGAGAAGCTAGATGACATCTGGTAAAGGGTTTGAGTCTCCATCTTCCGTTAGTTGTCACTGATATTTCTTACACTGAAACCCACTGGCTTCCTCTCCACACTCCATGTAAGAAATAGCAACTGACACTTGAGAGTCAACTCGGAACAAACTTTCTTCCATGTTCTGTTTAGTCAATACAGCATTCATGAATCAAGCCTATGGACTCAATTCAGACTATTTAGGCAATGCAAAAATTGATATTTAAATACTGGCTAGATGCATTCCCCACTGGTCTGTCTTCTCATCCTTAAATTAGTGGTATGGGGTGAGAAAATGACTGTAAACCTTTTTTTTCAAAAGGCATAATATCACCATCTCCTTGAAATGCTGTCCTGGGTTTCTTCCATGTATCGTGGCTAGATTCAATTACACTCACTCTACATCCATAATCCTTCCCCTCCCTGGTACTGGAATAGTGAAAATCAAAGTGTTGATTTCATTGGTTTTGTTTGTATTGGAACACTTGTGATCATGCTGGAAAAGTGGGAACATCTGCATCTGTCTCTTGTCTTGCTGAAGATGAAAACTTTAAGGATGGGTCACATCACACAATCATGGCTTGGAATAGGTGAGGCCTATGTGCTACCTCTCAATGATTAGCTGGCTAGTGAGTTGTATGGTATCAAAAAGCAAATGAAGTTAAGCAGTTGCCATGTCTGTTACTCACTGTTAATTTTATATGTACTGTTTCTGATGCACAGCAACCTAGCACATGAAGATGCATGTTGAGTTTTGTTGTCAGTTATGCAATGGTGGTCACGTATTGATCCACAAAAACCAGCCTAGAAATAGAAGAAATGTCAGTACTTAGCAGGTCCTCTTATCAGCTGACTGAACTGAGCTTTCTGATGTGGTTTAAGTGCAGTTGCCAAAAAATACTTCTGTCACTGTTGTGGAAAGTAACTGCCTCTTCTGATTGGGGAGTCTCTTAATGAATTATGGCTATCTTCTGTTTTGAGGGAGTAGAGAGACTTAAAGTAGTGACTGTATCTTGCTTGTTAACCAGATGCTTAAAACAGTTACTTGGTGAAAGGAATACGCTATGTGGCTGTTCAATGAAGCACACTGCAGCACTAAATTAACAAATACTTTTTGAGGTGAAGGAGTAGTGAAACTGTTCAGTACTTAGTATTGTAATCTGAGGTTGAAAAACATTTTTAACATGTACTAGATTGCTCTTGTGCATTCCACTTCTGAACTTTGAAAAAAGTAAGATGTGTTAGATACCAGAACCTCTGTTGCTCTGAGGTTTCACAGGGACTTATCGCAAACTCATTGTCTTCCATAACTAGTTCAACTTGTCAGGCAACTCATTGGATTGGGGAAACTGTACTAAATAAAAGGTGCTGTAATCTTCATTCTTGTCAAGTTAAATTCCTTCTTTATTAATGTTATCTTGTATGTGCAGAAAGAATGGTTAACCAATTCTGGAACTGTTCATCTTGGAACAGCGTAATTAGTTGGTATTATGAAGCCAACTTGGCAATACAGTTTTGAAGCAGAGGCTGAGAGCCTGCTGGCTTACAGAACTTGTCATTTGAGCTGTATCACCTATGTCTAAAGCCTAAGCACCTAATGGGACACTTGGAGCTGTAACACTTTGCTAACAAAGTTTCCTCTTGAACTTCCATGGATAAAGTCCATTTCTGAGTGCACATTGTGCATAGAGCAAATGAATGTCTGCTTCTGGAGGAAGGCAACTCACTTAGGTTTAGTTTTAGTTGAGACCTAAAGGTTAAGTCCTTAATTAACCTAAAGGGTAAACAACAGTTGAGTTCACACTACAAGCTTATCTAGTTCCAGCCCCTCTGAGGTGGATTTTAAAATGTGTCTAAGAAAACTTAATAAGCTTTCCTTGCTATATGAATAATGAACTTGTCAAAGCTCACAATGAGCAGCTCAGCTGTATTGGCTCAAGACACTTGCATGCTTTGACCTTTGATCTCTTTAGTCTTAAAGTACCTGATGGTATTTGATAGGACAGATGAATTTCTACTCAGAGCAGTGACTCTGCCACTGGTGTTCTTACAGTCCATGTGCTGTTCTCACTCAGGTTATTTTTTTTTTTCAATTGATAAAGCTCCACCACTGAGGTAGACTTACTTGGAAGAAGGTGCTTGCTGTTTTATGGCTTGATACAGCATCTATTTAGTGTTCTGTGGTTGTCACTTTTTCCAGAAAGGCTAGGCCTGGAGATTAAATACAGCAGGTTTTCAGTATTCCTCTTCTGTACTTGTGGCAAACTTCAGTTTAACTTTCCAGTTACAGCTGAAAACATGATAGCCAAGGTAGCTGCCTTGTTTACTTCATAACAGTGGGCAACAAGCATTCTGATTTGTACCAGGAAGGCAGTAAAACTGCTCCCTGGACTGGAATCCTGTTGCCTCTACCTCATGGTGGAAGTGCCTGAATGCATGCCCTTCTAAATAGGGGCAATACAATTTGAGGGTCCTTGAATGACTTCCAGGTGTGCTTCATTGGACATCAATGGACATCAACATCAGGTGGGTTGACTAGAGTGAATAGAAAATGGCACAGAGAAATGCTTCCTTTGGACTTGAGGGTTTCCTGTGGGCAGAGTAAAGGGAGCTTTGGCTTCCAATCTAAATGAGTACTTGCAGATCAGGTACATCAAACAAGGAGGACTTTGGCAAGAGGGGGGGGGGGGGGGGGGGGGCTGGGTTTTAGCCAGCTGTGGTGGGGGGGGAAACAGTGTCCTATTAAACTGTTCTTATCTCAGCCCACGGGTTTTATTTTTTTTTCCTGATTCTCTCGTCCATCCCACCAGGGGTGTTGGGAGGGGGGGGGGGGGGGTGTGTGTGGCTGCTTGCTAGCCATGCTGTGTAGCTGAGGCAACTGAAGGCTGTATTGAAGCTGATATATACTAGCAGCCCTTGCATGTTAGCTAATTAAAGACCAAGACTTCTCTTCATCAGTATAATGTGCTCTTGAATCTTTCTGGATCATGGCTGTAGGCAAGGAACTGGATATTTGAAGCTGAAGGTCATGCAAGACTTGACTATGCACTTGCACTTAAGCATTCAAATATTATTCTTGCATAATGGCTTAACATAGTCAGGGAGCTGTTTACAGCAGTATGCAATCTTCCGTATGTGGCTTAGCTGTGGGTGTTCAAGTGCTCTAGTCTTCCTTCTGGTTTGAGCAAACATATGAGACAAGCAAGCCCCCATTATAACAGGGGCTAAGTTGTTATATGAAATTCCACTTGAAAAAGCAGGTTAAACTCCAGGAGTGCAAAGGCAGACTTGGCTCCTATTTTTTTTAGAGGAGCATCTCTCCAGGTGAGAGTACAGATGCAGCATGAAGTGCATCTTCAATGACTTGTGCCATACCTGTTCTGTACAGACTAATATGCCTTTACTGTAATTTCTAGGTGAACACTTGGCTCAGTGAAGAGAAAGATGTATGCATACATTTACTGGGCATTAAACTTCAGTAAGATGTTAATAGCCACCTGAAGTTCCAGTTGAATCCTATCTGGCTAACGTAATGCTTAAGAATACTTCAGGTCTAAAGCACAAAGCTACAATCTGGAATGTAGTAAGGGGGCGGGGGGGAAGAATGCATCTAACCAAATGCTCACTAAGATATTTTTTAAAGCTTTCCAAAGCATTAACCCAGTACTTGGGGCTGACAGGTCTATCAATTCTCGCTCAAAAAGAGGATACTGTTCATTAATTCAACTTGGAGCTTATGTAGACAGAAGCTTTCTTTAATTGCTATAAGCATATGTTGCAATGTTCACCTCTTGTTGACTTTATAGTTGGGAGAAGGAGGAAAGAGGAACAAAACTATGATTTTTTTTTTTTCACTGTAATCTCCACACTTCATGGGAATGGCAGGTGTTCCTCTTGGGAGGGGAAGGTGTTATCTCTAACACTAAGAAAGAGGTTTAGCATAGAGGAAGTGATTGTCACTGCAAGATTTAATAAAACTGCCTCTAAACTATGTATGCTATACTATACAATGTAAATTCTTTTTTTTCTTACATAGCTTCAGAGCTTTGTCTCTAACTTGCCCAAACATTTTTAATGTCTACAAAACTGGTCACTTTTCATTATCATGTTAATACAACTGATTTGTATTACTATTGATAATAAAAAGAAAAACAGGCATACTATTTGTTTGTTATTGATTTTTACAGCATTCTAAAAGCATGTCTAATCCCCAAATTCTTGAACCAGGCAACTGCTGACTTTCAGTGTCTGGAACTGACCTTTGTAGCAAATCTGTAACATGATTATATTACAGACTGTGGGAAGGGAGGGGAGGAGGAGGTGACTGAGGACCCCATCATCAGTTTTCCTGAAATGGTCAGTGTGTTTTTTCAGGAGTGAACTGGTAATAGTAGTTTGATTCATTCGTAGTTAATTTTCCACAATGTAATTGGATCAGACAGCTTGTATCAACTGTGCAAATGACAGAATTGCTTTCCCCTTTCTTCAGTCAGTCTTGTGGCTCCAATAACAGAATAAGCAGCATTGTGTGGAAGTATTGATCCTTAGTCTCCTGAGCGTGCCAGAGTCCGTTCTCTGTGTTGCTTTGTGATGAACAAACTGCAGAGAAGCTGAGATGCCTCTGAGGCGGGGGGTTTAGGGCAGACTCGCTGCACTGTTATGCCACTTCATTTGGAGTGGCATTGAAATGGGATTCACAGTAAACTTTGGGTGCAGTTTCTACTGCCACTGCCATGCAAGTTGGAAGCGGAACGTCCCCTAGCTGATGACTTCTGGTCAAGGATTACAGCAATTTACTTAATCTTGTTTACATGGTGCTTGCCTGGTGTTTGCCCTGTGTTTCAGATTGCCATGGTGGTTTATGGAGGTCTCCTTTCCAGTGAAGTAATTTTTTAGATATTCTGCAGCAGAGAAAGGGTAGCAAGAAAAGTGTTGTGTAGGAAGCAGGAGAGGGTGCTGAGCACAGTTATATTACGTAGCTGTACCCAAAGCCCAGAATGTTACCTTTTTCTTCATATATTCTGTGGATGCCGGTGAGGAACAGGCCTTCCCTAAGTTGCAGCAGGATGAAACTG